TTCGCTTTTGCTTTTTTGCACTTCCGGTTGAAATTTTTTAAAGCTTTAAACGATCACACCATGTGACCTTGACCTTTGATGACCTTGACCTTCATAGGGTCAAATGTCATTGACCTTGGCTATCATTTGATACTTTGACCTTTGACCTCCGACATGTACTTCCGGTTTTATAGCTATCCGTAAAAAGCCAAATTCGCAACTTTGGACTGCTCTAGCACGTGACCTAATTAACCTAGAGGGTTAATTTTTTCGGTTTCCTAATGTGCTTCTCATGCACTTTACATAGATATAGAACAATTGCTTTTTTAAAGCAAAATTTAAATTGAGGATTTTTTCAAATTTGAGTTTTTTTTTTACAATATTTGCATCTTTTTGATCTTGGTGTATGTATATCTTATGATCTATTTGATGTAAAACCTTGATATTTGGAATACAAGTAGACACTTTGAATATGAATTCACTTATGACAAAAAAACTTATGTGGGCGTGGCACATCCGGGTTGAATTACTAATTGTTAACATTTAGAGGCAGGGGCATAGGATGCGTTTGTTCAAAAAGAGACTTTGCACACAATTACCTCATCCTTTTGGCCAGTTTGTGTTAACAGCTCAATTGTTTCAGCCTTATAGTTCCAAAAAAGGAACGGGTTTTAACATATGGATTTTTTCATTTTTCGATTTTGAACTTTGTTGACGTTTGTTGACCTATATCTTTTGACCTATATTATGTAGGAGCTTTACATTTCGAACATAACGTAACATTCTGAATATCAATTAACCTATGCAAAAAAAATTGAAGTGGGCGGGCACATCCGGGTTAAATTACTCATTATTGACATTTTTGGCCAGGGGCATAACTCGCAAAGTATACATTTGTTCAAAATGGAACTTTGCATACAATTACCTCATATATTGAGCCACTTTGTCTTAAAAATTCGGTTGTTTCCGCTTCGAAGTTCAAAAAAAGGAACAGGTTTTGGAAATTCAAAATTTTCAATTTTTGACCTTGACCTTTGTTGACCTTGACCTTTCTAACATCAAACGTCATTGGCATTGGCTATCTATTTATACTTTTATATTTGCTGTCTTATGTCAACTTCCGGTTTTATAGTCGTGTGCAATTAGAAATTTTGATGACGGATATATTTTGATCTTGACCTTTTTAGACCTTCTCCTTTACAAGATCAAAGGTCATTGACCTTGGCTATCTGCTGATACTTTCATTTGTGAGGTCTGACGTCTACTTCCGGTATTAGAATCTTCTAAAAAATAAAAATTTCTCAACTTTAGACTTGTTCTTGCGCTTGACCCAATTATTTATTTTTTTCAGAAACATAGATTAGCTCTATAAGATGACCAACTTGAGAAATATAGTACAATTTGCTGTGCCAGTGTTTACTGGTATTTTGGGTTTAATTTGGTTCTTTGGAAGGAAGAAAGGCAAGAAGAGAGGTATAGAGTTGCCACCAGGAACGCCTAAAGTTTCGCCCCAGGATTCAGATACGCCTCAGAAAGACAACGAAGCTAATTCCTTGCGAGAGGGCACTGAACCTCAAACATCAGCTACTCCAGTAACCCAAAATAAATCAAGAGATATCAATAAACTATTAAATTATCAAGAGCCATCATCAGCAAATGCCAGCCCAAAGGTGACATCTACATCAAAAACTCCAGATGTGAAAAAAGGTGAACCTACATTAGCTGGCCAGACCAAAGGATCAGCTGTCAAATCTTTTACCAATAAAGAAGCATCATCTGCAAAATCAGCCGTGGAGAAGGAAATAAGTTCTTCAAAATCAACAGAAGTCAGTCAAAGTAATGCCACAGCAAACAAAATACCAGCCTCTGCTCCTGGTGGCAAAACAGCACCATTAACTGAACAAAAAGACCTGACTATTTCAAGTCCAGCTCTTGTATCAGATACTATATCTTTAACTTCTAACAAAGTAGAATCTTCCCCTGTCATCTCTAGGAAGGCTACAAAGACTGAACAATCAGCTCTTAAAGAGCAGAATAAATCAAATGACTCTTCTGTGATAGTATCTTCACAATCTAGTGACACCAAAACAAAATCTTCTCAAGTTAAAAGTGCTAATCTCGAGGACTCGAGATCCTCAAACTCTATCAAAGACTCTGCTAAGACAGTTGATGTCAAACCTAAAGACTCAAGTGTTGAAGTCCAATCCAAAACATCTGCTGGCCTTAAAGACAATTCAGTCAAATCCAACATCTCGGTCAATAATGATATTGTGGAAGAAAGCTTTTCGAAAGAAGAAGTGTGTGGAAGTGAACAAGCCCCCACTGTAGAGGTAGAAGATGATGACAAAAATGGCCACAGTGAACATTCAAGTCCACCCAGTTCAGAATCACCTGGTTGTGACAGCAATAGTGAAGTAAGTGTAATCTTTTGTGCTTTGAGCATGCTTTTCCTTCCATCATGAAAGCTTTTTGCTGAGAGGGAATATTTCCAAAACTGGCAATCCAATCCTGATGAGGCATGTTGATCCAAAACATGTAACAGAAGTAAGATTTGAATCATTAAAACAAGTCATGTAGAAAATTTATTTTGATTATATAATTCAATTCAATCATAGTATCTAACCTAGCAATTCTCTAAAGCCATAGTTTTCTTCTGCTTACTGATTTTTTTTCGGGCTTATTTCATAGTTTTTAAGTTCAAACGAATTATTCGTTGACAGTTTGAGTGAATTCGTAAATGAAAGAGTGTAGTACTGTAAAACCTCAGCCTGAAGATCAGCCTTCACCTTTACACTTTAAAAAATATATATTGATTTATTATTGTTGTGACTCTCTGTTAACAGCTGTAATTTGAACATCAAGTTATACATTATTTATTGACAATGTTATGTGACCTGAATATATATGACAATTTATTTAGTTCTTCTGTGAAAAGTGTGTATGTGGGACTGATTAGAATTTATTTCTAGATATCCATTCGTATTTTAGACCTGTTAAAGGCACAAAATTTATTCATGTGTTTTCGATGGTTGAGAAAGGTAACCTAGATCCATTGCTTATATAGTCAATAATTATATAGTATAATCATTATTATTGATATATTCATGACATTACTAGTTCAGTTGACCTTGTAACTAGCAGAATCTGTGAAAATATGCTAGCAACAGACTTCATTATTCAAAACTACGTACGCTTCTTACTTAACCTTTAATATCAAATGTAATGGTTTAGAAACTGCTTTAAATGTGATTTGAAGGCTTTGTTGAAATATTTTGGCCTTTGTAGAAATTAAATTTATGTAATCGAGTTGAGGATTCAAAATGGTTGTGAAATGCGTTAGTTCGTGTGTTTTATTTCCATGTAAGAACCATACAAAGTATCCACCAGATCCTGTCAGTCGTTTGGATATTGTTGACCTGAGCAGTTCGAATCTACATCAGTCCAGTGGGCAGTTTCTGTAATGTGATGTCAACTGCATCAGATCTGATGAGATATAGAGCATTTTCCCCTGTAGTTGTTTATGATCGTAATTTATTTAGATGTCTGGTTAAGTCTTTGCATTTAATTATTTTTTCTTTTATAAATAGTAAGAAACACAAAGCCAAATTATTCAAATAATGTTCTTTACTTTCAGGCATCAAATGACAGTGGTAGAGGTGGAAGTGTAACAGAACAACTATCATCTATTTGTCCTCCAGAAATTGTCCGTTATGAGTTTAATTTCCCATCAGATTTATGTGGTCTATTAATCGGTCGTCATGGTAGAAATATTAACTCCATTAAAGAAGAGTCAAATGCCCTGATAGCCTTAGAACATAATCCTTACACACCTGAATATCAAATTTGTGTGGTTGAAGGTAAGCTTAATGTAAAGTTTCCTTTGACTTTGATATGCCAATATGCATGCCCAGATATTGAACCATGTTCTGGTACATTAATCAGGATTTCTGAAAAACCGAAAAAAATATTTTAATCATTATTCATTGCTAATTGGATGATTTTTTTTTTAAGGCACACAAGGTGATGTAGAGAAGGCATTGTCATTAATACGCCAGAAATTTCCCCGTTCCAAGTATTCCCAATTAGACATGAGTCCTATTAACCAGCCAGTAGCAGCACCAACCAAACTCCAAGCAGCTCCTGTTCTCATGCCTAATATTATGCAGGTAATAATTTTGAATATATATATTTACAAAGATGCAACAATTTTTCAGTGTGTCAGTGATACAAAATGACTGATTTTGTCATTGATGTACATGTTTGCAAATAATCCATTTGGAAATGAAAAGAGCAAACTTATGTTTTTGCTGGCATAACTTCCCTTAAACACATTGCAAAGTTTTCATTATCTTAATCAGCTGCAGAAAACCAACATAAACGAAATGCAAAATTCAAGCCTCTTTGGAAAGATTGACTTTTGGTTTCTTTTTTAGTTAAGTTTGCCAGAAGGCGTGTCTGTAGATGTCATTGTATCTAACATTGTTGATGCTGGTCATATTTTTGTACAACAACCAACACATCCTAGTTTCCCATCATTAGATCGCTTAAATCAGTTTATGATGATGTGTTATACTCAGGATAAGATGGTACCTCCCCTTCCTCAACCAATAGAAGGTAAGGCTTGTTGTCTCGCTTGACAGAATAAGCAGTGCTAAATGAAGATAGATGTAATCAGTATTGTCTACATCCTTGATATGACCTTCATCTCCAATGGCAAGCATTGCCGTAAGTGCAAATTAGAAAATTTGATAGCGAATACTCTATGAACGTTAGATGTCTAAATAACTGCCTTATCAATTAAGTGTCTTTCTCCTGTCAGAATAAAATCTGATGTCTGCCTTTGTCTTGCCTGAACATCTAAGTTGCTATGCCTGAACATCTAAGTTGCTATGCCTGAACATCTAAGTTGCAATCTGCTGGTAGTTGGAAATTATAAATACTGAATCTCTCTGATAAAAAATAGTAATATAAACAGCCAAATTCTATTTTATTAGACTCCCTGAATATTTCTTTTGCATTCAAATTTTTGTTTAGTATTGAGAGATTGTTAATGACTGAATGATTTGAACGACAATTTGTGATTAGTTACTTTTCAAAGTACCAGTACATGTAGTCAGTGAAAAATATGGCATGCAAAAGTGATGGAATTCTCCAAGCTTTTACTAGCATTCCTTCATGTAGTTATTACTAGTTCTACATTTTAAGAATTGATTCTTATGCCATTGACAGCTGAAATTGAGCTCTATTGGGTAGTAAAATATTCAGATGACTAAATCCTATTAATGAATTCAGCAAATCATATTAACTTGTCCATGATATGTTAAAGAATATCTGTTTTATTACAGCTGGTGTAATTTGTGTAGCACCTCTATCTGATGGTTGGTATCGTGCCCAGGTTGTACAAGTCTATATTGATCTCCAGGAGTGTGATATCAAATTTGTAGATTATGGTGGTTTTGAACGGGTTCCTATGTCTCAGTTAAAACAAATCAGGTAGGTCATTATGATTTTAATAACGACAAAAGGAAATGAAACAAAATGAATAAAAGTACTGCTGGTATAATGAAACCTAATATAATGTGTTGTTGAGTTTCATATGCTCAGCATGTATTGTTAATTTAACATATGTTTCTATGTATGTATGCTCTGAATACTAATAATACCTTTATTTAACTAAGTTTATTTCATGTATTTTAGGAGTGATTTTATGACCTTGCCATTTCAAGCTGTAGAGTGTTATATTGCCACCATTGCTCCATTAGCTGGTATGTGCTTACATCTTTTTCTTTCTAATATTTTGATCCTCCAAGTATAGGATAGCTTAAAACATATTCTGTCAAGTGTGCACCTGTATTTTAGGATGCATGATTAATGTTTCTTTGATTTACAAGGTTCAGAAAGTGATGAGATATATTCTCAATTAATATCAATTTGATTCAAGCTTGAATTCTGTTTACAAATCAGATGATTTTATGTAGAACCTACTTGAGATTCTAGTCCAAAGTCCTTGTTCCAAAACAGCACTCAAAATCCACTTAAAAAGGATGCGAATCAGAGATGTAGTTTTTGTTTTGATTATTTTGCAGAAGAAGAATATTTTAGTGTTGAAGCAGCTAATGTATTAGATGAGCTTACCCAGTCTAAAGTCTTACAGGCTCAAGTTATCAGTCGTGCTGAAGATGGTATACCTTATATACATCTGTATCAAATCAGTGGCAACAGGGTAAGTTAGTTTTAGTATTATTCTTGGTGGCTTGGTGCATTGAAGGGTTGGATGGCACTAACAACCAAGACCCTCCTGTGCAACAGACTGAGCCAGTTACAGATTCTTGTGAAAGTAAGAGTTCAAATTAGTAAGGTAATGCTACTTTTCCAGCAAAATTAGCTTTCACTCAAGGATAAAAGTGGATTGTAAAACTCTACTTCAATTCAAATTATGTCTGCATTTATTCCTTATTCACAAATCTGAAATTATGATGGAAACTTTAATTTATTGTTTAATCATGTTGTCTTTATTCACAAGTAATATTGTTAATTATTTGATTTTTGTCATTCATATGCTCCATGTATTTACACTTTTATTTTTGGTTTTTTGGCTGTTTAGAATCAAGCAATGACTTAACTTCTATTGAATATTTTCATATCGCTAACAATTAATTTCTTAGAACTCCATTCATTTCATTATCTACAAATGATTTATTGAACACTTTTTTGACAGTAAAAAGATTTTGTTATTGTAACATATGAACAAACTTATAATTGACACATGTATTATGTTCATTGTAGGTAATATTTATCAATCGAGAATTAGTGAACAGAAAGGTTGTTAAAGGTACTGATATAATTGAGTAGTGAAACTCTTGTCATCACTGGTTTCATCTGTCAACCTGCTTCTTCAAGCAATGTCATCATCAACACCACAACCACTGATCGAGGCATTCAAAAATGCCCAAGGTGCTCTTTGGGGAACATTCTCATTCAAATATCTGAGTATTGATTGAACCAATCCATCTGTGAGGTTTGCTACTAGGTTAAATGTTTTGAATTGATTTGTGTTTATGAAGGTAGATATTGAATAGTATTTTAGAGGAGTGATAAACTACACGTAAAAAGTTTTGTTAGGAATTGATAAGAAAATAAAGATCAGTAAGGGACCTTTGGCATAACATTCACAAATTTCTTGATTTAAGATAAAATGATTTTTTGATGACAAGCTTTTAATTTTTCGATGCCTGAAAATTCAAATTTATGAAAAAAATGAAGTTTGACTTTCCTTATATGGATACAGTTTGTTAATTCAAAACTAAGTCTCATTGCAAGTCTCTAAATTCCATCTACTGATCCTACAAAATCAGAAAACTGTGAAAACTTGTAATTTTTTGAAAATGAAGTTTTGTTAAAATTCTAAAATAGATTTTTCTAATAAAAATTTATTTTCACTTGAAGATATCATTTGAAGATATCTATTAGTGAACATTATGCTAAAGGTCCCTGTTAAGTCATTTCTAATATATTCATATCATACAAAGCATTTCCTTATTTATTGTAGTTATTACAACCTAGAAATGGGTTAAAAATTATATACAATGATCATCTCTAAGCACATATTTTAGCATTTATATTTGAATCTTTTTTCACTTATTTCTTAAGTCCTCCAGTGAAATAATTTATAAATCTTAAATAACAGACCAACCTAATGTTGCCTTAGAGTGTTTTATCGAAAAGCTAATATCAAGCTGGTAAAGCAAAAAGACTAAATTTTGTATTAGAGATTTTTGAAAATTCTAGCATCTGACTTCCATTAAGTACTTACGTATATCACTGGTTAGAGTAAATTGTCACTTGTTGCACATTTTTTTAGTTCTCTAAATGTTAAAAATTTGTTGTTTTTGAATATAAAATCACTGATATTGTTGAGATTTAGTTCTTATTTGCTACTTTGTTTGTTGTTCTGGCTTGCATGACTATGAAACGATCTTATATTTTTGCATTATTATTTGAAATATCAAAAAGCATTACCCCTCAGTACATTCTTGTAATGTTAGAATGCAAAAAAAAAAAAAGTAATTTGATTGTTCTGTTAAGATTATCTTGCAAACATAGACCTGTTCCACTAAAAATATTCTTATCTTATTTAATTGTATGAAAGTATGATTAAGATTATTAATATATTTAATATTTTTATTTGATAGCTATAGAGCCGTGTTTTGACTTATCGTACATGAAAGTTTTCATCATTCTTGAAACTAACTACCAAAACATTACTAAGCTAAGCAGCACTTTGAAATGAATAGTTCTTGGTTTGGACCTAGGCCTGTGCTTTCTATGATTTATTTCTCGTTTCACCTTTACAAAAGACCTGTTTCATGATCAGTAATTTGATTTTTGTCAGTTGTGTCATTATTACATTACAAGAGAGGCAATGTCTATATAAGAACTTTTGTATGTTTGATTTTTTCCCAAAGTTTTAGTCTGTATGTAGATTTTAAAGTGCTATTCTGAGAAAGAAATTGTAATGATAGTGTAAATAAAAGGAAATAGTTTAGTATATCAAGAGACATAAATTAAGTTCATTTCTAGTTTGTGAAAAGAGTCTTCAACATAGTCTTCATAGAAACATATCATAAAAATGTACATATTGATTCAATGATATATATTGATGCAAAAAAGAAATCAGTTGGATAAATATTTCAAGCATCTTGTGTCTTCTTATCAAGGACCTCTTTCTCAATCTTTTTTTTTTTTTTTTTGATAATTTTTCGTGTTATATATTTGCTGTCTCCACTCAGATTCCAGCTATCTGTAGTACTTTGTAGAATTCATTTTTGGCATCATGATCTGTAATTTATAGATAATGTACAACTGAAAGTGAAAATTATTTGAGTTAGATTTTGTGATTAAGGTCTGCAGACTTGTGAAATTACAGATGAACCGTGTACCAGATTTTCATCCTGAAAAGTGATATGGATAGCTGAAATTTATCCTTTTGAGCTTAGAAATTGAATACCTAGATAACTTTTTCCTTAATTAGAATTTATAGTTGGTAAAAAGCTGTTTTCGTTAGATTTTGATAAACATTAGCCTCCCTCACGTTTAATTACTTGTAGTTTTAGCAGATATCTTAATAGTCACTTTAAATCCATCAATACTGTTTTGAATGAAGCTAATGATAGAATTCACTTAATCTTATATACCAATAATTCTAAACTGCCAAGAGTGCAAGAGACATTAGTTCATGAAATCAAAATATTATTTTCAAATCATTTTTTCAGAATCTCCACATGTTCATGGTTGGATTTGTATGTTTGGAAATTTTGTAATTTAAGGGTTTTAGATTTCGCAATTTTATCTGTGGTTTTTTGGGGCATTTAAAATGTATTTCCTAGGTTTTTCCATTGTGTATAAGCTTATTCTTATTTAGTATCTATATATAATGGGACAATTTGGAAGGGTTATTTATGTTCCTTAATTGAAAATTGTTATTTACAATATTTCATAAATATAACAGTTTTTGTAAATTTACCTATTTTTACAGGTAGGTTTGTTTGGTTGGTGAAATTGAATATTTGATGTGCCATAATTTATCATTTTTGTGAAAGAATATTATTGAATGCCTCTAAGATTCCTTTCTGATTTCGAACGCTAAGATTACTTTCTGATTTCGAATGCTAATATTGGTGATCACACTTAAAGCTATTTGTGTTATTCAGGTCTGAATTTTACTTGGAACATGCAGAGACAGATATCTTCGTTCATATTTGTGCTCATCTTTAACACCAAAAAGAACATGTGAAATGTTAGCTTACTGCATTTGACAGTAAAATTTTGCAATTACTCTGTACGGTATATAAAATTTGCCCCATATCCACATTAGAATTAAGTATTAATCATTTAAAGATTTAAGACCTTACCCCAAATCTGCATAAATCTGCTATCAAAAAGTCAAAAAATAATTGCGTTGATGGGTATTGTGAAAATAACACTTCTGCTTATTATAATATTGGTAAACAGGGGACTTACTTGTTTATTTTGCTTTGTTTTGTTTTTGATATTTTGTATGTGTGTGATGAATAGTGTTTATATGATAAGTAAATGACTTGATATATTTAGATATTATAGTTGTTGATAATGTTTTAGATTCTGAGTCTAGCTATTATAGTATTCACCTTCAAAACAATTTGTATATATTCTTGTTTGCAAGAGTGATTAAATTTATAAATCTTCAACTGTCTTGTGTTTACTTGCCTCCTAAAATAACAAAAATAACACGGTAACTAAAAAAAAATTGAAAGGCAATTCTCTATGCTGCCAACTTTCAGATTATCCTGCAAGAAAATGAAATATCCAGCTTCCTCAACCACTGCAGTCTTTTGTTTCAGTAAGTCCCTCGAATATCGACAATATTTTCCATTAAAATATTGTTCAATTTCTTTCACCTCCTGCCAGATATTGAATTTGTATGAAGAAAATTTCTTTGTGAGAACATCACAGATAAGCTGCTAGAAGTTAAGAAGTTGATTTAAAAGCAGCCTTTGTAAACCAAAACCACGCCCAGGTGTACGTCTAATCTAATCTATGGTAAATTATAAACACAAATTATAATACTTTTATTATAAACATTTTAGCCTACATTGTCATTTGCGTCAAAAATCTAGGTATAAACGTTAAACGTACGTAATGAAGCTACACTAGTTATCTACTACCATAGTGGGCCTGCACTGTACTAATGCACTGTACAAGGTGTTGCCTGTAGGGTCTTTGCTATTGCTCCTATATTTGGCCTTTCTTAAATTCTCTGGTCAACCTCTGTTTAGATCCAGATCAATAACAGTAAATCAATTTCCATACCACTTTATGGCAGTGCAGTACAGTATACAAGCATAAGAACAGTAAGTAGCTGTTCAACATTCCCAAAATAGCCTTTGACCTGTCTGTTGTCACGAGAACGACTATTTGCTGAATAAATCTTCCGCATATAGAAATCTCATATCAACTGCCCAAAAGTCACATAAATAATGACTTCAGACTGAACAAAAATATTCAAAATGCAAAAAGGTTGGCTAATTCTTAGACTTTAATTAATTTGTGAAAGAGGAAATCTGGAAAAAGTCGCACTAAATTCGTATACAATCAAGTGGTAAACGTTGAAGAGTTGCTTTGCGGCAAAGGGGTGCAACTCGTGCCTAGAGACTGGGTAATTTCAGCAAGCGACCAGTGAGCTAGACTTTCTATTCACCAAGACATGAATACGTCGACCCTAGACAAGGTTACTCTGGTTTCTCCTCATTTTCCGAGTAAATCTTTCGCCTTTTACTAAAGATTTCCGTGGGGAGTAACATTCTAATGAGTCTATAGACAATTTGTGAAACCCTACGTATGTGGGGTAAATTAATTCAAAGAAAGAGAAGTCCCCTATTGACCCAAATACAACTAGTCCAGGCCGTATTTCAGAGCTGGAAAATGTTGAAATAAGGACCTTTTGGTTAGATATTTTACTTTTGTTTGTTAGGGCTGGAGAAACAATCAAGAGTGGACGTTTAATACAATCAAGTGGTAAACGTTGAAGAGTTGCTTTGCGGCAAAGGGGTGCAACTCGTGCCTAGAGACTGGGTAATTTCAGCAAGCGACCAGTGAGCTAGACTTTCTATTCACCAAGACATGAATACGTCGACCCTAGACAAGGTTACTCTGGTTTCTCCTCATTTCCCGAGTAAATCTTTCGCCTTTTACTAAAGATTTCCGTGGGGAGGAACATTCTAATGAGTCTATAGACAATTTGTGAAACCCTACGTATGTGGGGTAAATTAATTCAAAGAAAGAGAAGTCCCCTATTGACCCAAATACAACTAGTCCAGGCCGTATTTCAGAGATGGAAAATGTTGAAATAAGGACCTTTTGGTTAGATATTTTACTTTTGTTTGTTAGGGCTGGAGAAACAATCAAGAGTGGACGTTCAAGAGGCGTTTCGAGTCAAAGGGGTGCAACTCGTATCTAGATAGAGGTTGGGTAATACAATCAAGTGGTAAACGTTGAAGAGTTGCTTTGCGGCAAAGGGGTGCAACTCGTGCCTAGAGACTGGGTAATTTCAGCAAGCGACCAGTGAGCTAGACTTTCTATTCACCAAGACATGAATACGTCGACCCTAGACAAGGTTACTCTGGTTTCTCCTCATTTTCCGAGTAAATCTTTCGCCTTTATATTATAGATTTGGTTGAAGAACGTTGCTGATTTGGATGTTAACCCATCTGAAAACCTGACCAACAACATCATGGAGAAAACTTCAAAAATTTGCATCACCTCCAGTGACATAGATGAATCTATTGTTAAAAGAAATGTTAAAGTCACGGTTACCAGGCCAGGAAATATGCTTACGGGAAGAGAAATGGTTTTTTTCGCCGTACAATCTGCTCTTAAGGTGAAATATAACAGTGCCATTGAAGCCCTGTGGAAACTGGACAGAACGGAAGAATGGTTTGTGACGGTATCAAAACAAGAATTTGTGGAAAAATTATTAGCAGTCAAACAAATAAAGATGAACGAGGTAACTTTTTCTTTTACGGACGCCGATAAAAGAATAATGAATATTCGGGCACACTGGATCCCCCCATATGTCTCTAACAACTTTATAGAGAAAGTTTTTGCTGAATACGGCAACGTTATTAACGTAGTGGAGGAGCAATATGGCGCCCGCCATACGCTTTGTGGGACAAAGTCAGGGCTAAGGAGAATATCGCTAGAGTGTTCTCCCGAACAATATGGTTCTGTGCCCCATATTATTAACATCGACGGAGTAAGACCTTTCCGTATGCTGCTCGCATGCACAGACAGACCTCCATTGTGTCTTCATTGTCGCAATGTAGGACACATGGCCAGGGAATGTCCTTCCAAGATTCGTAGGACTGTTGAGACTGAAAAGGTGAAATCGTATGCTGATGCATTAAGTGGTTTTTCTGGCCCTGGGGACGACGCTATCCAGCAAGTCCCAGAGGCCGAAGGAATGGACGCAAAGGAAATAACAGTAGAAAAAGGTGAAGCGCCCTCCCATCTCTTTTCCCCAGACCCAGTGGGCGATTGGGCTGAGGAAATGGACTCGGAGGACAGTAGCTCATCGTCTGAGAGCGAAAGTGAACAAAGACTCATAATGGATGTAAAAAGAACAGAGCCAACAACAGGGAAAAAAACGACCAAAATTCGTGGAAGTCCGAGTAAGGGGGGTGAAAAAAAACTCAAAACCTGATTTTTCTTTATTTCATATATATATATATAATTATCATAGTTTTCTGTTTCAGATGTTTAGTTTTATGTTCAGTTTTGTCAAAGTTATTCATGGCTGGTTTGTATATATATTTAGTGAGTATCTGGGTATTTTCTGTGTATATAATATAATCATGTATTTTATATTACAGCTTTTATTAGGTCAGTTTCGACTAGTAAGTTTGTCTGTCTTTTTTGGCAAGGTACCCCGAATTTCGCTCACAATTCAGTCTGGATTAGTGAGCGATATTTATTTTGGTGGGCTATGTTTGTTTATCGCCTGTAAGTCCTTTGAGTTTATACTCATGTCTGTCCATGTCTTGTCTTATTACCTAGTTTGATTTTATGTCACTTTTTTCTAATCACAAATTTTAAATGGCGAATATTAAGACTGTATCAATCAATTGTCGTAGTTTATTGTCTATTCAGAAATCAAGAGTAATATCGAGAGATCTGAAAGATATGGCTATTGATATTTGTTTTTTACAAGACACCAATATTCGTAATATCGAACAAGCTAAAATTTACGAAAATATTTTTGGGGGTAAATGTATTTGGTCTTTTGGCTCTAACCGTTCGACGGGGGTGGGGATTGTTCTTTATAACCGTTTAAATTTTGTGATTAGAAAAATTAATTTCGATTTTGAAGGCCGGCTAGTTGTTGTCGATGTTGACATCGCTGGTACACAATTTAGGCTAATTTGTATATATGCGCCAGTTATAGGTGCGGACCGCAACGAATTTTTATTAACTATACCGCACTATTTGGCTACTCAGCGGTATATTATTTTTGGAGGGGATTTTAATTTTGTAATGGATCCGCACTGTGACAAAATTGGGGGTAATATTGAGCACGGAATTGTGGGTAGAAAAAATCTGGGGGACATAATTACGGATTTTAATTTAACTGACGCATATCGACATATTTACCCTAGTATTGTTTCGGTGACATGGCGGGGCTCCGGTGTCGCATGTCGCTTAGACCGATTTTATTTAAGTAGAAATCTTTTAAAACATCTTGTAAGTTTTGAGGTTCTGCCTTGCGCTCCCTCAGACCATGACTATGTAATTGTTACCATCAATGTTTCGGGCGGAATTCAAATTGGGGAGGGATATTGGAAGTTTAATAACTCAATTTTGCACGACCGAGCATATATTTCCCTTTTTACAGATTTTTGGC